CCCCAAAACCCCAAAACCCCACAAACAATTATTATTAAGATCATTTATGTATAAGGAAAAAATAATAGATTTTACCTATAAAATTAATAATAATTTATTTATAGGTTTAAAAGAGCAGGTAAATTATAATGAAAGGTTAAAGAACAAAGGGGAAGTATGGAATATTAACTAATAAAACTATTAGATGTTGTCCATCCTACGACTATTGATACTACAATAATCCTTATCAAACGTTAGGATTTAATAATATAAAGTACACAACTAAAAAGAAATAGCTCTGCCTTGGCTGCTAAACAGATTACTAAGAACAGCTATAAGAACATTAGGATAATGAGCTTTATATATGGAGAATCAGTTAGGAAGATTATTAGAGTACGGAGTTTGAGTACAAAGTTGACTCAAACTGCTAAATGTGTTCTCATTTAGATATAGCTATTTATGAAGAGGAAATAGACATTGAGTAGAAATCTAAACTAAATTCTTCACTTACACAGGAAGATTAAAAAGTTCATTTTGAATAATAGAAATTATTAACTGGTGAATAGTTAAAACGTAAGAAGTAGGTTATAATAAGAAAATAATGCAGTGTATATGAAAATCATAAACTATGAGGTGTAATATCTAATGATGAATTCTTAAAGAAAATAAATAGCGAAGAATATTAAAATTCAGTTATTAATAAGTCTAGGAAACAAAAGCTGAGAAAATATGTAAATATTGAAAAAAACTCTTGGTTAGTTTATTCTTAACATAGAAGATATAAAGACTATTACTTTTATGAAACTATTGAAAAAGATGAGCAATAAAAGAAAAATTACATTGAAGGAGATATAAAAGAAGTTCTCCAACATTTGTAATTCTTTAAGAATCTTGATTGATTTATGCTATTGTAAAAGCAATAATACTCATTGTTACTTTAATAATAAAAAAGGATTAAAATAATTGGTAGTTGATTATTGACTAGAATCGTTTTTGATAAAAATTTTAAGTAATTAAGTTATAGCTCAACTAATTGTATAAAAGGGGTTTTGGGGTTTTGGGG